CTCGTCGTTGCTGAAAGACAGCTGACACATCACATGTGCGGTCTCAGCCCCCTCACTGGTCTCTTCAAAGCGTTCGGTGTATACAAGCGTAGGCAGTGTTAACGCAGCCGCACAAAACCACACGGCAGAGCAGATGATGCGACTGTAAATGAGAGAACTGGAGCGGGCCCCAAAAGAGCGTCTGGCTTGGACAATGGCAACATAACGATCGCCACTGATGCACGCCAGCAGGAGCATGCCGCTGTAGAGGTTGATGCTGTAAGCCGACCTTAACACCTTGCAAATCCCACTGCCCATTGGCCAGTTGTTCTGCTCGTTGTAAATGATAAAAGGCAGGGCCAGCACAAAGATCACGTCGGACACAGCCACGTTGGCTAGGTAGACGTCTGTCATTGTCTTGGTTCTCTTGTAGAATATGTACGTGGCCACCACAAGGAGGTTCCCGATCAGGCCGAAGGCACAAATGAGGGAGTGCATGTAGGTTTGGGTCAGGACTTGAGCAGGATTTGGGTCCAAGTTGCACAGCTCCCCATCTGTATATAGGTAATCGTCAGTGCTGGAATCATAATAGTCTGGAGCAACTGAAGACATGCTTTGGTTCTGTTGAACAAAGAAACATTTCAAGACCCGGCGACATATATTTGCATTTAGAGTCAATCTAAAGAATCACCTGAAAAGGACAAATGTCATTTTAATGCTGATTTTTTTTTTTTTTAATGGCACATCAAGTTTTTGAGATATTTTCATTTTTTGGGTTCTAAAACCATCTTATAAAAGCTTGTGCAATACAGACTTTACCTTGAGTTGAATTCCCGAATATTACATACTATATTATGTCATTTTTACTCTATTACTTATTATATTGTTAGATGATGATGATGATGATGATGATGAAAAGAAAACATGGGGAAGATTAATTATAAGCACAAAAAAAAAATAGAAAAGTTTACTTGGAGCTCTGATTAAAAAAAAAAGTTGAAAAAAATGTTGACTGGGTTCTATACACTTACAGCACGTTGGTCTCGTGCAGCTGTTCTCAAGGTATGGTACAAGTACTTCTAGTGATACCTGTGCTCCCTCTTGTGATATGTGAAAAATCACCAAATTTTATGTTCTAATATTGTTGCAGTGGGTGAACCTTTTTTTTTAATCCAGAACAGTAGATTTATGAAGTATAGTTCAGTTGTGTTGAACTTGTAAGTACAGTACATTGCATTTCATCTTTTAGAATTGTTTCTTTTCAAACATTTATGGAGATACAATTTTTGGTGACCCTTTTCATGCACCAATAATGATAACCTGTAGCCTGAAAGCATGATACGCTGTCCACTGTAGTAACCGCTGTCCCTGAAAGGGTTAACTCTTATGTGTGATAAATTTTAAATGAATCATGATTTGAGGACCGTGTTTCATTTTTCTACAAGTGTTGATGTTCAAACTGTGCATAATGTCACAGCTGCTTACAAGTAATATTAAATACTTCACAGCGAATGAAACATCTGTCTGTTTTTGATGAACACTACGACCTAGTACTCTTGTGTATTTTAATGTTGGTCATTACGGTGGTATTTGGAGGGTTCCGTATCTTTTTATAAGGGGGTACATGGTGTAAAAAAGTTTCAGAATCGGTCTAGGTTTTGCTATCCTGCTTCAAGAGTTATGAGGTTCTGGGTTCAAATTTCAGTTCTGGCCTTCCTGTGTCGAGTTTGCATGTTGTCCCTGTGCTTGGTTGGTCTGTCTCCGGTTACTCCGACTTCCTCCCACATTCCAGAAACATGCATCTGAGAAGACTCGAAATTGTGAATATGAGGTCGAATGCTTCTTTGTCTACTCTATACCATGACTATCTAAACTACAGCCTGGGGGCAGTCTGGCGTACATTGGTTTCATTTATTTTTGTATACACTACACAACATTTCTAGTCATAACCCCCCCCCCTCCCCCCCAACCACCGAATGAAGATAATTCACTTTAAGCAACAAAACGTGTGGCGTGTGATTGTTTTATGTACTTTTTGGTCCATGACAAGGTCAGTTTAGTTGAGACTGCCTTTGTTTGGGTTCTGAATGTGGCAATGTGATTCTGCTGCTGCTCAGTCCAGGGGGTGATCTATTCCAATGGGATACAGACCAAGGACACCCCAAAATTGATCACCGAGCTGCCTTTTTTACTATCCATCCAGCTGTGTAGCTGCTGTCTTATAGGGGGGGATAGACTGCAAGTTAAGATGCCCCACTATAAATAATGAGTAATACCGCACATTTCTGATACAATCAATGCCAATGTCAGCAAAAACATGAAAACCACTTGCACTTTGCGTGAAGAACAAAAGGCTATGTTCTAGTTTGTCTCTTCCTCTGGTTGCACATGACCCAGTTTCAGCTCCTTTTATCAAGTAAGCTACTCACTTGATCTTTCAAGTTGATCTGATCCTTATCAGTGAAGATCTCAGACATACCCGAGAATCAGAGCACACGCAAGAAAGTCACACATCTGACGGTCGAACAAAAACAGGTCACGAAGGATCATGATAAAAGCAGCAGTCAAAAAAAAAAGAATAGAAAAGAAAAAGAAAAAATATTCTGCACAGCATAAATCATCATACCTATAATACTGATGAGTTTTTTTTAATTTTTTTTATTAAAGCATACATTTTGGCCTCTGAGACACTTTTTACATGTTTAGGTTGGACAGATATTTTATAATGTTTTACAGCACAGTTAAATAAGGTGTACTGGTCGTGTCTATGTGAAAAACAAATATGCAGAATTGAGCGGAAAAAAAGAAGCTGCAATTTATCAGATGGCCATTTGGAGAAGGTCGACCACTCTTTAAACTGTAGCCTTGTTCATCCCGTTTTAAATACTACTATATATGTAACAGTGTTGTTTCTGTGGTTACCTTGATATCAGAAATGTATCTGCCAAAGAAATACAAACACTAATTGCAGTTACGCATTCATGCTGATTTCAGTTTTGGAAAGGCAATTAAGACTGCATGTACCAGGACACTCAATGGTTACATATAATACTATTAGAGCTGTGTGGAAAACATTTGCCTTGGCAGAGATTGTAATGCTCAGCTTTAATTGACATTGTCAGTGAGCTCCCAACAATTAATCAAATTACATTAGAGGTACAAAATATCTCAGCTCTAAGTATTGTTATTAGTTAATATTGTTGTTATTTTATTGGTGTTTCACTGCATTAATTGCAAGAAACAACAAATATGACAATACTAATAACAATCATCATCATCATCATCATCATAATAAGAAAAACAACAACAATGATAAAAAAGGAAAGAATATATTGTTAAATTATTACCATGCTAAAAAAATTTTCAAAACAAAGAATGATTTTCTTTTAATGGCAGAATTCTCGATTGCACCACTTGTACTTAATATTGTCTCCGCAGTTTGTAATATTTTTTTCAGTGTTTTTAGATCTGATTTGTAAATATGATCCCCTCATTCTTAGACAAATCAATCAAGAAATATTTACATGCACTAATGGTATTTTCTGTTCATAACATACCTACAGAATGATGTTTTCACAGAGTGAAGTTTTCTTGAAGTGTTGACAAAAAAGTACCAGGGTGTCACCAATATCTTAGTTGCTTATGAAAGAAGAATTGAGCAGGGGAGATTACAGTCAGAGATTTGAGCAGTAAAGTTAAAAAAAAAAAAAAAAAAGAGGAAGAAGACCAAAGTGAAAAAACTCAAGTCAGGTACCCCGCCTCTTTCATTTTCCTGCTTACCATTTCATTCGTACTGATTTTTTCTGCCCTCGGCACCGGTGATCCTCCTCTGTAAAAACGACATTGATATGTGAGGATAAATTGACAGCAAATTATGTATTCATGCTTCATTCCACTCCCAGCGAATTTCATGGAACAAGATTCGAAGAATAATCTTCATTTTTAGATATGAGTGATTACATTTGAAATCTCTGTTCATCATAGCCTAATGTTTAAATGTGCAGAGGATGTCCTTTGTTCAAGTTGAGCGATTTGTTTCTATTTTGGACAATTCAATCCCTCAATGACATCCACGATTCAAAAATAAATAAATAAATAAATAAATAAATAAATAAATAAATATACACACGGTATACTGTAGATACAGTACATCAACATTTAAAAAATTTAAGTTGACGCTCTTTCCCAATATGACCAGCAGATAGCGCTATTATTCCAACAAATTTAAAATTGTGGCACAAGCCTCTTGTAATTTAGTTTTAATTTGGAATACAATACATGCCTTGTGCAGTATGAAACCACTTTTAAGTGGAGGAAAACATGTTTTGTCACACTGAAATGGTCTAGATTTATTGATTATAGATTTATTTATTTATTTATTTATTTATTTATTTATTTATTTATTTCATTGTGGGGTACACATCCAGATCCAGGCAAACAGAGTCAAAATTTAAATGAAAGCTATGCAACAGTTAAAATTAAATCCTTGCAAATAAAAATGGTGTAAAAAATAATTGTGGTTATGAAGATTTAAATAAATGGAGCTTCGCATTTTTTATGTTGAATTGTTGAGAGACTTAAGATCCTGGGCGCTGTGACAAGCATGAAACTTCAATACAATGCAATACAATACATCCTGATTGATATAGCGCTTTCACAACAGCCGCAGCTGTAAAGAGCGCTTTACAAAACAGTTAACATAAAGTAAACAAACACAACACACAACATAAAACAGGGACAGTCGTGCAATCAAACTACTTTTCGCTCATACGCTTTCAAAATAAAAGTAACAATTGATGTATGAAAATATCAGTTTAAGGCTACGTATCTGTCCATCATCTATAATCTAATCTTTTTTTCCAATAATGGGGACATTAAATACATATTGTTGTCGTGTTCACTGAGTTGGGTGCATTCACCCAACGGGTACGCACATCTGTATTTTATTTTGAAGACGACAGCCGGAAATGTTCCCAAACTCAAACCAAGGAGCGATCACCTGGCAGGTAACTCGCCCTGCAGGTTCGACCAGTCGATCACGCCTCCAACTGATAACGCAAATCGGCCACTTCGCCTTTTAGTTTTGAAAGTCTCTCTGTTTTCTGACGTCGTTTCCCATCCAACATGAGTAAGTCGAGCACTTTAAAAGTGAAGAATTTGTTCAAAGTTAAGTCACCGGGCAAAGAGGGCAAGGGAGCCAAACAGTCGGACTCCGTCAAAGATGGAACAGCTACCGTGTCCAGCAGAGACAAGTCGCGGACTTCACCAGTGAGCCCCGCTCCCGGGAGCCCCGAAGACGCCGCCGCACTGCCCGGTGATGGCTTGCTCATTTTACCCAAGGAAAAGAAGGCAAGGCGGACGTTGTCGTTCAGGTTGAAACGAAAGAAATCTAAGCAGAAAGACGACAGAGAAGGAGGCGATGATGAGTTGTTCCCCAATGAACTGGAAAGCTTCGGCAGCCACATGTAAGAGTGAAAACCAACTTCATTTTTTACACGTCGAATGTTGTTAATGTTGACGAATGAATTGTCGTAGAGAAGCTCCTTTGTGTTTTATCCGCATATGCAGTTATGGCAGCTGCAAAAGCAGTATGCTGCACTATTGGTCATTTTGTGGAGATGTTTGTTATGGGAATCACAATAATGCTCAAAACAAATCGATTAGCTCCATTGATATTCTCTCACTGGATGACAGCAGCTCCTTAGTTATTCACATTCAGAACCACGTGTGAATGCTGAGACAAAGCCCTTCACAATGTTTTGGATCCAAGACATGCATTTGACCAAAGATTATTTTTCTTGTTGCAATGGAATTTGATTTAATTGCCTCAAATTTGTCTTCGTCGAGCAAACTCAAACAAAAATATGAACAGTGACGCCCCCCTGCATAGCCGGGTATACTATCCAGACCCACTTATGAAAATCTATGACACAGATGTCAAAGTCAAGGCCTGGGGGCCAGATCTGGCCTTTTACACCATTTTCTGTGGCCCACAAAAGCAAATCAAGCCTGTCAAGTTCCATAATGCTTGCTAAAGTCTGAACCAAAATCTCAAGTTATCATATGTAATCCACAATAACAGTCATTATTCTTGAATTCTGATTTGAAAATGAGCTATTCATCCATTTGTTGTGCACTGTGTATGTAATATGCGGAGGGGATTAAACATTTATATGGTTTCCCAAAATTCAGAACGGTAAGAAACCATAACTACAGTGGCCCGCGACAAAAAATGAGTTTGACATCCCTGGTCTATGATGTAGAGAGACTATAGACAAGGTGTGTCAGTTCCAGGACTAGTGGAACAAAAGCTATACTGTATTTCAAACCCAAACCACAAATTTTCTCCTGAAGTGTGGGTCAGCTGCTCAAGCAGATTGTCTACAGATGCTGCTGGGCTTGCTTCATTCAGTGTGCGAAAAGTGAGCTGACAACATGCTGCTGCTTCACAGTAAGAACGCGCCTGCTCACAATACCCTGAGTATCAGACCGTGGTTAAATCGACACCTCTGCTGGGACTGGCTCTTAAACCCGTCTTGGGTCACCAAGAGGTCACCAATGACATTGGTATGCATACTCAAATTGTGAATGCGCGAAAGGAAGGGACATTCTATTCTGGTAGTGAGTTGGAATGAAAAAGAACCGTCTTAAATCATTTCATTAAGAAGGGCTGTCCATTGTTGCAAAATCCCAGCAGATGTTTAAAAAAAAGGGAATTCATATCTTTGTTTTCATTCATGGTGAGCAGTGTCTTAATGTGGACCGAAGTGGCTCTTACTCAAAATATCGAATTATTGACATATTAACAGATAAGGATAGCATCCATCAAGGCTCCTCCTAAATCTCATGAGCAATGCTATTAATCTATAGCTCAAATGCAAATTGTGACTCATTGTTTTTGTCTCATGGGCAGGCCGCTAGCCCTTCAACATCATCCAACCAAAGTGTGACACCTCGTGTTTGTGTTTTAGACAGATCCTCAATGGGGACCTGGAACTCGTGAACGGAAATGAATCCAGGATTGTCTTTTATTCAACGAGCATCAAACGAGCATTCCAAAATGAAAAATAATTGTTTCATTTAATAATCGATTAGTCATTTTTTTAATGGCTGAACCTCTAATAAGCGAGTTACCATTTAGTACTGTGTGTCATCACTGAGCCATTTCCTGACATTTGAACACTCTGAAATGAATTATTCTAAATAATATTTGGGCAGTTTGGTTTTGAAAATCTGCAAAGTCAATGTTTCACTGCGCATGCAGGTTGTGGTCAAACTTGAACGTATAGCTGTAGTGTACTTGCAATATCTTTCATTTAGTCAGCACACTGAATTAACAACCCAGCAGTACACTGCTTTATACCCAGCCATCCTCATCATAATTAAACCTGAACTTCCGTGTTCAAAGATCAAAGAAGAAATGGAAAAACTAGTCTGCCTTAATTACGGAAAAAAAAGGAAGGGGAAAACCATTGAGATGTGTCACAGAGTCTTAGGTCATTTGCATCCATTTAATTTACATCATTCAAATAAAACAAGATTAACATAAACCCAGCCCACTGGTTCTTGTCGAGCAAGGAGCCCGTCAACATGTGAAAGCAGTTTTGTGACAAATTGTCATGCAAACATAACCAGCCTTGGATACCTTACGGCTTTTATTTCCGACTTTTTCAACAATTTTGTTATGTTTCGAGAAATGTTCCATGCCAAACTTTGCACTGTATTTTTCTTATGCCATTTCCATTTCAAAGCATCTGTAATAGGGAGCTAAGAAGGTGTTGGTTGCTACCGAGGGGCGAAATCTTTTTGAATGCCATTGCAACAGGTTTTAGCAACTGCACAATGTGTTGATAAAAGCCTTAATTTAATGAAATTCTGAATTATTCCCAATATTTTTTTACAATGAGAAATAGCTTTATAATGCTGATTGCTCAACATGCTGGTTGGTACAGTATACTCTATGGATTAGCACAGCTTTCTCGCAGCTTTGGCCTCCTTGTGCAGTGTTTTCCTTGTGGGCATTTTGTGACTTTCTTCCAAAAACATGCATGTACGGTTAATTTGAAGACTATACCGTAGGTGTGAATGGCTGGTCGATTTGTACCATACAATGGACTGGCAACCACAGCTTGCCTCCAGCTCACTTGAATCGTGACCCCTGTGAGGACAAGCAGTACAGTATTTAAAATTAATAAAAATGGTTGAATGAATGCCCGTCTGTCGTCTAAACCAATTGGATAAGTGGTGGCGTTGCTTTCACTCTACTTCTGTTGTCACTAGATTGACCTGCAATAACAAACCGTTGTAGTTTGATTTTTGAAGAAACCTGTAATGCAGGTATGACACACATCGGTAATTAACTAAAGGCAACTTATTCAGCACGTTACCTAAATGTCACACAGAGAAGACGGAAATGGAACACTGCTGACTCATAGACGCACGTGGCGGAGATCATCAGCACTGCCACTTGTTTACTGACATAATAAGTCATCCCATCCCATACCTGACAGTAAAACGGGATTTTAATTGTGCCACAATTCTTTCTTTATTTCACCTTGCTTTGTCTTGCATTTCCTCAAGGTTTACTTGGGGAAAAAAAAAAGTATTTGTCTCTGAACTTGCTTACGAACAGCTTCACTCAGAGCTGAATTTCAGAAATACCATCCTGTACATCGCAGCTTCGTCTGCAAGCAGATATATTCTTCGTGTATTGTCATATTCTCTATTCTCGCCATTCCTTTTATGTTTCAGGCCAGCTAATTCATAGTATTTGCAAATTATATAGCCCAATAAATATATTTGGTGACGGGCCAGGACTGAAAAGGTGTTGAATATCAGTTGATCATTAGAAAAATAAGAAACAAATTTCATAGGGAGAGACCGGCAATGGAAAAATCTCAATGCTTTCAGAGAATGCTTACTGTTGACAGGCTGATATTGTAAGGGAATGTTCAAATTGAATTTAAACCATGTCTCTAAACGGTTCATAGATTGTCATCATATTTGCTCACTCCCAATTTTTCCTTTTTCTTGACCAATAATAGCTGGCACCCTCAAAGTTCCGACCTTGTTTTATTGTAAAACACTGAACAATACTTTTGAAATAATACAAATGGATTCTTTTGATTGCACTGTTCCCTAAATAAAAAATGAAGATTCTATTAGTCATATCTCACAGCAGAAGAGAACTGTAGCTGATATTTTTCAGACCTCTGTGGAGGGAGATGAGATCGGTGGACAAGATCGGTTTTATTTATTTTTATTCACCAATGAAGAAAATCGTCAACGTTACCGATCGGTGTACCCCTAATTTTATTCAGGATTGCTACCGGGGTAACACAGGCAGTGGTTTGGACTTAGGACATGCATTTGGATGCTAGTGTTTGTGACTGGGAATTGGTCCCTTGTGTCAAAGGCACCAATCCACCGCATGGCTCAGCTGCAAGAAGAAGAGAGCGATTGGAAAACTGATCCCAGTCCAACTCCTGAAGGAGCACCCGTCATAGCTCATGAGTGAAGAGGCTTCAAAAAATAGTGTGCATTCCCCATTAAGAACAGGGGAAAGCAGTGAGGTGACGCGGGCGTACAATTTGGGTATTTCTGTCACACTGAGCAGTGCTCACAGAAAGGGATACAAAGTTATAATCATTCATTCATTCATTCATTTTCCGAACTGCTTGATCCTCACTAGGGTCGCGGGGGTGCTGGAGCCTATCCCAGCTGTCTTCGGGCAGTAGGCGGGGGACACCCTGAATCGGTTGCCAGCCAATCGCAGGGCACACAGAGACGAACAACCATCCACGCTCACATCCACACCTAGGGACAATTTAGAGTGTTTAATCAGCCTGCCATGCATGTCTTTGGAATGTGGGAGGAAACCGGAGCACCCGGAGAAAACCCACGCAGGCCCGGGGAGAACATGCAAACTCCACACAGGGAGGCCGGAGCTGGAATTGAACCCGGTACCTCTGCACTGTGAAGTCGACGTGCTAACCACTGGACTACCGGGCCGCCAAAGTTATAATCAATTCCCGCAATTTCACAGTCGGGTCCAAATCTCTACCTTTGGACAAATTCTTACCTTATTATTGAATACATATCTGTACCATGCACTATTAGTGTGGATCAAACTTTTATTTAAAAATAAAAATGAGAGAACCTCTAAAGTAAGTGAAGTCATTCAAATCACTTTTAAAAAACTGTACAGTATTTATTTTTTTTGTTGTTTATGTATTTATTTTTCCTTGAGCACCCTCTCACATATCAGTAGGACCCTCCCTCGTGTGTCCCCTAGTATTTTGACAAATTAATTAATATGAAAATCTTTATTATTAAGTGACTATAGTGTTACATACAATAGCTATAGTTTTATTAACAGTCTTATTTGCAATGATGTGCAAAGATGTGGAATCTACCGTAATTTCCGGACTATAAGCCGCAACTTTTGTCACACGCTTTCAACTGT